TATTTATATATTTCTATATATTTCTATATATTTCATATATTTCATCTATGGTCATTTGTTTTAAAGTTACATCAAAAACCAAAATCGATTTTGTCCAAAAATGAGTGTGCGTAAAATTTCCCATTTTTCCCTTAATTTTTAGTTTGTTTTTCTTGATTATTTAGAAAAGTATTAAGAATTTTTTACTTTTGACCCAAATGTACCAATTTGACAAAGTACCAACTAGATTCACTTTCTGATCGAACGAGGTACTGAAGTCAAAAATCGAAGCACTTTTACTGCCCCAAAACGTGATGACAGACACACAAAAAAAAAAAAACACACACACATGGTAAAATCAATACATTCATCGCTCCGCTCTGAATCTAATAGCCTATTATTAGTAATAGGGTATGATATGGGGGCCCCTTCGCCCCTTGTTATAGGTACGATGTCATAGTACCTATATTTTAAACACTTCGGCGCCACTGATCATATAAGCACGTAGTATTACCGCCATTACCGGAAACACTGAGTATTCCGGCTGTATTATAATAATATAATCGAATAAGTGGCATGGTGGTTGGGGGATAACCAGTGGCGCTAAACACGTATGGCAAGTGGGGTAAATACTCCTGAACATTATTAGGCGGTGGGTCGTGAGTGACTGCTTTTGTTACATAATATATTGGATAAAAATACTAAATTGTATTAAAAATAAATTATTCTCCTTGTAACTTAAAGTTTAAAACTTAAGCTATATAGTCTTTTTTGAAAGAGGKGCTCCCATTTATTCGTTTTGAGTGGGTGGGTAGGTGGTACTCTCAAACAGTATTCACTCCAGTGGTTTAAAAAAGTTCAGTGCCACACCAAATAAAAATGAGTATTTTATTGCTAATATTTTATATTTGGTGAGGACGTGAGATAGGTTACTGCTGTATACAGATTTTGTTAAAAACATAAAATCCTCTACAAACCAAATTCTCAATTACGCCGAATTGAACGTGTTTTAACTGATCAACGTTAATAACCCTATAAACAATGATAATAAGGGCATAGTATATTAGTATGGCATAACTTTAAAAATTATTACCGCAGATACCTACATGCATTTTTACCAAGTGCTTATATTGTTATCTTAAACACACTACAAAATATTTAGATTCATATTGAGCTAATAAATAGCTTAATTTAAATAAAACATTTTAAAAGCATAATATTTTTATTATGTTTATTTTGAATTAATGTTGATAAAAAAAATGTAATACATATAGTTAGGCACTTCTTCGTATTGGTTGTGGTGCAAGAAAATTATATTAAAATTAGGTTTAAATTGACCAAAATCTTTACGACTTATGACTACTAACATAATATTATGTGTATAAGTATAACTATATACTTTTAGGAACTGGATTATATCAAATTGTATTATTAGTGGTATGTGGTTTGGTGAATATGTCTTGTGCTATATCTACGACAGCCGTATCATTTATATCACCTGCGGCTGAAGAAGATTTCGATTTAAATTCCACTACAAAAGCCATATTAAATGGAGCTCCGTTTCTTGGTAAGTCTATCGTAGACTGCATAGAGTGCTTCTGCAAATCTGCTAAAATCAGATCTCACAACTTAATTTAATACTTTCAAATAAACTCTGTATAAAACTAATTACCTCAGAGAATTAAAAAAATATTTCTGCTCTACTATACTATTTTTACTCTTACAATGAGTTGACCATCTGCTTTCTGCTTTCTGTGCACGTCTATTTAGTCTAATGTTAACCTGCCTAATTAAAAATATTATTCTGGAATACAAAATTACATTATAGATATACCTAGGTATGTAAGTTATTATTAATATTATATTTTTGTATTAAACATTTTTTTTAGGAATGGTATTAGGCGCATATTTCTGGGGTATTTGTGGCGATTTAAAAGGAAGGCGATTTGTTATCTTGGGATCGATGGGAATGGATACATTATTTACTATATTTTCTTCTTTAGTACAACATGTTGAATTGTTTTTCATACTCAGAGTTGGGAACGGATTTGCGTAAGTTATAGCACATATGCATGGGTGGATAGGCCATTTTTGACCTACCGGAAAATTTTAAAAAGGGGCCCCAGTGCCCCACATGAAAAAGAATTTAATAATATATGATATTAAAGGGCCCCATTACCGAAATACGGAAATACTAAGGGGGGGGGGGCACCGGGAAATGCCCGGTTGCCCGGTAGTTCTATCCGGCATCCGCCCATGCACATATGTATATTTAATTATTTATTTGTGTAAAATGTAAAGTATAATAATAAAATTTAATAATGAAAGTAAAAATAACATTAAATGAGTTGTAATGAATATAGGTATCTTGATATAAATATATATTGAAAGTTTGAAATACATTTTAAATGATTTAAAAACTAAAGTAGAAATACAAAAGAATTGTTTGGATTTACTCGGAAATATTTGGAAGGTATAGGTAATTACTAATTGGAATCTGGTTCAACTTTGCCCCTCTTCGTTATCATCGTCTTGAAATTCTATTACATATTCTGTTACGTTCTTATATAATATTATTTAAGTCTTCATTAAAATTATTGAATACAATAATTATTTGATATTTTTTTCATGTAATTGTATCTCAATTTATATAGTGTTAATATTTCAGTATTATTGGTGCTACTTGCATGGTTTACGTGTACTTTGGTGAATTTTTAACACCTTCCAAAAGAGACAGTTATTTACTTTTTCTTGAATTATTTTGGGCTTTAGGAATGATGGTTGGACCAGGTAAGTACAGATTGTTTGTATTACAAATAAACTAGGTAGTTTTTGGGAAAATATGAATTTTAATAATATTATTATTTATTTATTTATTTTGTTTTAAATTATATTATCTAGGTACACAATACTTATAATAGATGCATTGTTATGAATTTATGATAATAGAAAGTGATTCTGATTTTATACACACAAAATAAAAGTATTTGTAGAAGTTACTAAAAAAAAATTTGAAATAAAATATTTGTGTACCTAGTTAACCGCATACTTTTCACTTTTATAGTAGGTTGTATAATATAAATATTTTTTTAGTTTAAAATGTATAAAAGATTATTGCGTGTAGTTAAAATATTTATTTTTTAAAGTTAATTTTCAGTTTTTTGTACGGACTATATATGTTCGTATTCCTCAAGGAATTAATCATAGTTTTAATATTGTCTGTTTTCAGATCTAAAGCTACCTATGTATAAACTTTAAATTGGATAGGATAGGATGTTGCATTTTCTGAGGTCACTTAAACACGTCTTTAACTGTTAAGTTAATGCAGTGGTGTATTTGATTTAGTTATATGGGGAGGGGGCACTCACAAAAATTATTATACACATGCTTAAAATCTACCTTATTTATAATGTTACCACAATACTATAATGAACTKTTTTTAATTTTATTGTTATTTTTGTGCTTGATGACACTTTTCTAGTAGAAATAATGATAAATAGGTAGGTACCTAGATATTCAATTTTGAAAAGATTTCTGGTTGCATATTAATCTTGCTTGTATTTTTCTTAGTTAAAAACCAATAATTATTCAAGTAATGGTTGGGGTAGGGGCTGCAATAAACAAAAGTACTACATGTAGCCATGAAGGTATATTTAACTGAGATTAAAATATATTTACTATTTGTTTCAGGTTTAGCTATGGTGATAATTCCTAGCAATATTATTTTGGTTTCATCGGTACATTTCAAATTTAATGCTTGGAGAATTTTTTTGCTTTTAACATCAATACCAAGTTTAATCGCGTTTGTGCTGATTTTCCAATACCCAGAAACACCGCGTTTTTTAATGTTTCGAGGTTATTTGATTAAGTCCAGAGAAGTTTTGGAACGCATTTATTTAGTTAACAACAAATTTACAACTGTACCATATTCGGTAAATATTGTTTAATATATTTATTTAAATTTGTTGTTAATAATATGATTTCATAGATCTAATTATTTTAACACTGGCAAACTAATAAACTGCCTAGGTTTATTATAAGAAAAAAATAAAATGAATAATCTCAGAGCATTTTACATTTTAATTTAAAAATGAATTTTAAATAACCAACTTATTTTATCAATAAAAATGGATTTTAAGTTTATGCTGTAGAAGCTGTTACTGAAAAAATGCTACATATTATGTGTAAATTACTGAAAGATTATTAATTTTCAATATTTCAATTTATAATACCTACTATATAATGTTTAACATATAAGTGATATAATTATTAAAAAAAAAGCTTAGGTTAGGTTAATTACATATTTTTTTTATTAGTGTACTAATATTAGTTATAACTTAAAATATTTGTTTGTAAGTTTAAAAAGATCACGGTTAATACATTTAAATTATTGAACTAAAGGTACAAATTTTCACTCAAACCCATTCAGCAGTTTGGTTTGATTCAGGATTTATTGGAGGCATACCATTCATGAAAAATGTTAAAAGAAGATTAACTGTCCTAAAAAATGGTCACATAACTCTGTTTTCTAAGTATTTTAAAAACATCATTGTGGCTTGTATTATAGAATTTTGTTTGATGGCATCGTGAGTATATTTAATATTTATTTAAGGTCCAAAATAAATTATACATAGTATACAATACATATTATTCTAACTTAAATATTAATTTTAATATAGATTACTATGTTTTATAGTTTAAATTGAATATTTTCCTTTTATAATTTTCATAATTTTGAAGATTTGAAGAATAATTGTCTTTTAAAGCTAAGATCTAAAAGTTATCAAATTTGTTTAGTTTAATTTTTTGTTTGAAGTACTACCGACTACCTAGTTATTGTTTTGGTACTAAATTTTTAAAATATTTCTAAAACCTTACACACCCTTTTAAATAATTTGTTGATCATTTTATGTTACAGATATATTACTATTCTAGTATGGGTACCTGAATTGTTTTCTAGATACTCTAATTACAAACTACAAAATACAAATGGTGTAAATTTATGTACAGCTTCAGAATGGCATTTAAAATACAACACCGTGTATACTGGGCTAATAGTTTCAGTCAATGCTTACTTAGCTGCTTTAATAGTGGCATGTTCTACAATACCTCTTGTACTAATTACTGGGATCATAATTAAATATGTTGACAAAAAAATATTGCTATGTATGTATTTGGTATATAATGTTGAGTATTTAAGTAGGTAGGTATAGAAACATAGATTAGTGGTTGGTTAACTGGCTTAAGATTTATGTTATTATTAAAAAAAAAAAATGGTGCGAGTTCTAGTATGACTCATAACACCAATTTGTATTCTTAGGTTGTTTGTGTATGATATGGAAAGGTTCTTCATACACATTTATATTATTTTAAAAGAGATTTAGTGAAAAAATAAGTTCAACTCATATTTTGCTTCATTTAAAATTATAATATTTTATAGTTATTACTTGTGGAGTTCCAGCTATATTCGCATTATTAGTTCTAAAAACCAATAATGATCTACAAGCAGAACTAATGTGTTGCGTTTTTGAAGGATTTACGTCATTAACAGAACCAATTATATTTTGTACTATTGTTGAACTATTTCCTAGTAATGTGAGGTAATAGTTAAACTGTCTGTACAATAGTTCTAGGTTTATCATATTAAATTATTGAATGTATTTTTGTGTTCAGGGGAGTGGCATTCTCAATGATTGTGATGACTGGTCGACTAGGTGCTATATTTGGAATAATTGTTGTCGGCATATTGATAGATAAAAGTTGTATAATGACATTTTATACCTTAGCTTTTTTAGTGTCAAGTGAGTACAACAATTAAACTATTAAATATTTAATTATAACAATTTAGATTCGATGGCTTTATTAATGTTTTTATTCTATTTGAAAAATATATTTTAATTATTTATCAATAATATTTAATTCATTTAAAATGTAAATATTTTCAAAATTGCTGCACAGTATTTTAATTTTGATTGAAACTACTTAGTAGGTTTGTGGATTTTACAAATATCATCTTTTTTTTTATAATTATGTTATTATATTAGTATAATTTTTATCTTTTTTTTCAGTCGCATTTATAGCAGTGGCGTTTTTACCCAAACTAAAAATTGGAGGCAGCCATTAAGACATAATATTTACAAATTATTTAAATTTTTGATTGAACATAAAATAAATTATAATTGCAATTACTATTGTGGAATTCAAAAAAAAAAATTAATTTATACTATATTATACTTAATATTAAATAAAAAACAAATTCATAAAAAGTTTACTATTAACTCTATATTATATTATGACAACCATACAACCATCAGTGCCGGAACTTGAGAGTCAAAGACCCAGGTGCAAACAAATGCATATGGGCCCCTCTTCCTTGAGATTAACATAAAAAAAAATTGACATCTATCCTCTAATGGCCCTTTGCTCTGCGGGGCACAGTCGCACAGTGCTGTGCACCGCCTGCACTTATGATTTTTACGGCACTGACAACCATACTAAGTTTTGTTTAGTAGTGGTTTGGTTAACATTTTGTCAAAGAATAAATAGTAAAATAAAAGTAAACATTTTATGAATTTTAGTCTTTTATTTAAAATAATTGAGCAAAACAAGTAGTAAATTTATATTAAATAAATTAACATTAATGTCATGAAGTCATGTCATATTACCATTATTTATTAGTCATGGAAAACTAATAATGTCATTATTTGGTAATGAATATATATAATATACTAATATTTATATTTTAATTAATTTTTATGTTATACAAACAGTTAAAAATTAATTAATTGATTAATTAAAAATTAATTAATTAACATTAAAAAATAAAAAAATAAAATGAAATGAAATGTATAATTTTAATTTTTTACATAACAACAAGTTGTATTATTTAGTAATTTATGTTTACTTATAATAATAATAATAGCAATAATTAAAGGTGAAATTTCCAATCTTATTTGTTGATAAATGTGTATTTCATGCATTTAGTTCAATACAAAATTAGTTGCAATAACCCTTAAATAATCATTTACCATTAACAACTTAATGAAATGAAGAGTAAATAAAATTAATAAAAAGAAAGTCCTTTAAATGTACACCATGACAACAGAAAATTATTCACTGTTATCTTCTTCCTTGTTCTTCTCAGACTTCTTTTTCTTCTTTTTGTGACGATGTCTAGACCCACTTCTACTACGAGACTTGTGTTTCCTAGAACGCTTTTCATGACTACGACTACGAGAGCGATGACGATGAGACCTGATAAAAAGATTTATATTTCTATGACTGCCCCAAATTTGAGATAAAGCTAATAAAAATTAATTAAATAATATGATTGGAATTACTTGTGTTTATATTCCCTCTCTTCTTTATAACTTGTTTCTGGACTTTCAACACCATCACTAAAAATTTGTTAAATAATAATATTACTATAATTTAATACATTATTATTAAAAATAAATAAAAACTTACCTTTCTCTATGTCTGCTACGTTCCCTATCTCTGTCCCTATCACGTTCACGATCCCTCTCCCTATCTCTCTCACGGTATCGATTACGAGTCTCACGATCTCGTTCATATGCCCTTTCTTCTGGTTCTTTTTTAACTCGTGATGCATAATATTCTTTATCTCTTACCAAATCCTACAAAAACACTGTTATAAAATTGCTATAAATTTACAAAGCTACAAATTATTTTACTGGTCTTGCTTTGTTGTATGAATCTCCATTTGACAAAGTTGGAATGTTTTCTATACTTTTTACGTTTGAGTTCCAGCTCTAATTGGACAAAAAAAATATAAAATCAGGTGTTATAGAGTAGATCTTATGGTGCACAGAGGTTATAAATTAGATTTAATAACTAAATTCAGTAATGACAGAAACGATTGATTAAAAGACCCTAAATTCTAAGCAGATTACACATATTTTAATACCTAACTTAGCCATCCCATGATGTACAATTAAAATAGATTAAAATAAAATGTATAAAAAATGCTTAAAGGACTATAGAACTAAAAAAATCCTAATTTTTTTTATTGTGTGAAAATGTAGTGCTTAAAAAAAGAAAAATTTTGGTGGTATAAAAATTTTTGTCGGGCAATTGCTTCGGTGTTTATTTACAAGTCGCGTAACGTCATAAAATCACACCGTCCGCCGGGCCGTATCTAAAATACACGCATTGTAGTTATTTCGCTTGATTAAGATAACTATAGAGAAAAATTGATAAAAGGTATAAGTTACTAAAGTACATTTATAAAAAGGTTATAAATTTCTATAGATGATCATATTATTTTTACAGTATTAAAATTTGTTTCAGGGTAGTTTACAAGAACAAAGACAGACAATTAAAATAGAAAAAATAGAAAATATATTATATTAAATAATCTTATACATTTTTAATTAAAGTTTAAACAAATGTGTTATTATAATTTATAATTTATAGTTTAAGAACTAAAATAAATATGTAAAATAAACCTCACAATAAAATATACATAGGTACTAAATCAAATAAGGTAGGTTCATAAAATTGAATACAGGTAAGTATATAGTAGGTTTATAGTTTATACTACAATAAAACAACTTACATATTTGATATTATTTTTTTATATAGCATATTATTACAAATTATAATGTTAAATGTTTAATGGATTGTATTAAGTAATAGATTACACGAATTACGYGTTTTGAAAACCAACATATAATCCGTTCTCCTTAGGATAACGTTCACGTTTTTTTTTGACCACACATGATGGAATAACAACTCTATTCCCTATAGAGTATAGACTATAGTATAAAACAAACACAATAAAGAATAAAATATCTGGAAACATGGAATAATGACAAAAATTATCGAAGAAGCTGAAAAAGAAATTTTACCACAGCAATTTGATGTACAAAGAGAATGTAATACTAACATCCCAAAAAATGTTATCAAATTTATCCAACACTTCGCCTTCCTTATGAAGAATTAAAATCAAACAGATATTAAAGATTTACCTAAAATTAAATTAAATTAGCTAAATTAGCTATTATTATATATTATAATAATTCAATTACGTATAATATACCTATTGTATTTTTGTTTGAATTAATATATTTTATTGTAAGGTTTTTTTGCATATTTATTTTAGTTTTTAAACTATAAATATTAAAATAACACATTTGTTTAAACTTTAATTAAAAGTGTATAATATAATTTAATATAATATATTTGCTATTTTTTATATTTTAATATTTTGTCTTTCTTGTAAACTACTCTGAAACAAATTTTAATACTGTAAAAATAATATGATCATCTAAAGAAATTTATAACCTTTTTATAAATGTATTTTAGTAACTTATACCTTAAATCAATTTTTCTCTATAGTTATTTTAATCGAGTGAAATAACTACAACACGTGTATTTTAGATACGGCCCGGCGGAATTTTATGACGTCACGCGTTTTACGCGACTTAATAAACACCGAAGCAATTGTCCGGCAAAAATTTTTATACCACCAAAATTTTTCTTTTTTTAAGCACTACATTTTCACACAATAAAAAAAATAGGATTTTTTAGTTGTATAGTCCTTTAATTACTTGATTCCATTGCATATCCTGAGTAGGTTCAAATGCATTATAGTATGGATCCGGTTCGTGAGGATAGTATTCTGGTTCATAAGGCACATTTATTTGTGGAGGACCAAATCTAAATCATATATATTTAAAGATTATATTAACTAAAGTATGTTTGATTATTTAGAATATTCATATTTACCCAGGGGGTGGTATAGAATTTATAGAATTTTGAATCATTGGTGGAGGTACATCAAAATTTGTTGGAATTATTGGAGGTGGTACAGATAAATCAGGAGTTGAAAAATGTTTACGGCTGTATTCTCTTCTCTCAGCTGTCATAACCTAAATATATAATTTGGTAAAATTAGATAAAAGTTAGTATTAACTATTATTAAATTTATCAATAAACAAGTTCCAGCAAAAATATATTATTGAATTCAACAAGTATGGAAATCATTGACATCACACTGTATAATTATATACCTCAATAGTGTTTTCCTTTTGTGGAACATTTGGTGTTTGAAATTTTGCACCAGATTTAACATCCAAAGTAGGAATCATGTTATTATTTGTAGCACTTAAAGAAACTTGTTGATTATGCATAGCCAATGTTGACATTCCAACTAATGATTCATTACATCGCATTTTTCTTTGACGTTCACAATATGCCAACCATGTGTTTTCATTAAATCCATAATTAAAATAATCTTAAAAAATATAAAAATAAATACTTAGTTAAATACTTGCCACTTGTGTATATATTTTCCAAAATCGTACAAAACGAATAGTATTTTACCAGTGATATCTGCACCAGGCTTTAACCATGGTTTTTCTTCAGTAGTTTCAATAGAATACTCATGAGCAGGGACACCATTTATGGAGCCCATATTTTCAAAATCTTCGACATTGAATTTTCCTTGATGCTAATAAGTATTTTATCATTAAAAAAAGTTAGAAAACCTACTTGATAATAATTGTATTAATTAATTACTTTAAAATAATTTCACAAAAATAATACAATTATAAAAAATGTAYTGTTTGTAAAATTAAAATTCAGAATATATTATGAAACCATTAGTCTGATTACAACATACTTTGAAGAGTAAAGATTATTTATAAGTTATGGCACTCATCTAAAAATTAAATAACTATCTACATTCAAGAATAAATATGATTTTATTTGTGTAACACGTACAACTGCCATGCATTCACTTGCAGGCACACCATTATAGTTTCAATTATCATTCTGCAACCAATTGACATTGCAAATTATTCTTAGATAACTGAAAATCTTATTAGTTATTTTATCCTAAACCAAAATAATTATTTCAGCACTGTAGTAAGACTTTTTATAGTTACAGTATGACATAATGATTACAATCTGCTGTAATGTTACTATACGTTAAAAAAAAAAACTGCAACATTTTGGTTATTGACATATATGGTTAATAAGGTTTTCATTTTTTAAATTGCCATATTATATTCATATAACTATTAATTAGTATTCACAGATCCAATGATCTGATGTGTTCCTGACTATGAATAATTTATATCACCAAATCAATAAAATATTTATTCTTAAGTAAAATGAAATATTAATGGATTGAAAGGTACCTATAAGCAGCAATTATTTTTTAATACTTTTGACAAAATACGGATGTTAATGTTTATGTTACTATATAAATATTTAAACAATTTTTCTTGCTTACTTTATTTCCAGATGACATTCCAGGAATATTTGTTAATGTTAATAAGTTATTTCGTTTTAAATTTATTCCAGCAGTCGATGGACTTGCATTATTTTGTTGCGAAAGGGATGCCATATTATTTTCCATTGAAGACAATGTAAAATTGCCAGCTGCCACAACAATGTCATCATCACTATCTTCTTCACTATCTTCAGATGATATTTGTCTATCTTCATTAATCTCCTCAGCTACTTTTTCAGAATCATTAATGACTGCTTCAGTTTCAGTTTCTATTAGGTTAGTTTCAAATGAATCTTCTGAACGTTTGACAAGTACCTCTGCTTGGATTCCTGGACCACCTAAAAATGTTTCTGGACTTCGAGGTCGATTAGGATCCTCATCATCTAATTCTTTTACAGTAGGTGGAACATCTATGCTTCCTTTAATAAAATACCAAAATCCAAATTCAGATTCATATTTTACATTAAAAAAATATTAGGTGATCAATATAAATAGGAGTATGATTGTAAATTATAAATGTAAAAAAAAATATATTCAATTTATAAATTCTAAGAAAAACTTCTATACTAAAATATATGTTAAAATTAGATATTTAATAGTTACTTTTTTGGTAAAATAAAAATTATTTATTGTACCTTTTACCAACAAAACTAGCTTAAAAAGGTAAAATGTTGATATACAAGATACCATTCATTAAAAAATGAATATTATTTAATATTCTTTAATAGCTAATATGAATTAACTAAATTAATCAAAAATATTTAAAAATTAAAAAAAAGATTTGTTTAATGCACTTTAAATACAAATAATTTCAAATAAATAAAAATAAAAATAATACTTAACCTAAGCATAGAGTTTTAAATGTTACCTGGTCCAGGGTTTGCCAGGAATTCCATAAGACGTGCTTCCTACAAGTAAAAAAAAAAAGTTAAAAGATGTTTTTTTTACTAATCATTCTATAACAGTAGGTACCTCATCTTCTAAAATACCAACTGGTTCAGCTGGCTTAATATCTTCAACTAAAGCACCGGCATGGTCAAGATTTGAATTTGAATCCCCATACAACCACTGGTCATCATCACCGTTGTCAGCCATAGTTACCTCAGTCTTTGTATTTGCCATTGTACATTTAGTAATAAATACATTTCAAATCATTCTAATAAATGTTTTTTTWAATATTATATATTTCACAACATATAAAAAATATTAAAAGTTTTTACATCATATTATATTAACTGCTAATGTAAAATGAACACTTGAGTTTCCATAGTTGAACATTAAACTATTAAAGAAATAAAGACCAAGCTTAGTGCTTACTAAAGTATTCTGTATTGAGTGTATTGACACAAATTATATTATTATGATAATAATGTGGTACGTTCTTATCACCAAAGATTCAAAATAAATGTTTGTCAAAGAGGTTATAGTTAAATAATTGAAGTTTTGACGGAATAATCAAATTCAAAATAGACAATTTTGCACTAATGAACATGATGTCCATATATTTAATATTTATATGACTAATTTATGCCTATATTAATTATAGGGCAAATATTAGCAATTTATTAACAACAAATAATACATAATATACCATCAAACAATCATAAATCATAATATCACGAGTTGTCTTAATCATTAATACCATAACAAAGTATAAAGATAAGTCAGCAACATTGTGAATTGTACACATATGACATATCCCACACCTTTAAAATAGTTAATACACAATTAACTACATCGTTATAATATTATTGTTCTGTGACCACCAATTCACAATTTAAGATGTACAAATATATACAATATACATCTTAATTCATAGCGGTGACTATATCTGATGAACATTTTGGACAAAAAAAAAAATAGCGGCAAATATAAAATGGTTTTTGCTAATTTTTGAGGTTATGATTTATGAATGTCGTATCGAATGACAACATGTAGACTGTAGTTAAAAAAACGAGGGAAATTGAATATAATATTTATCTACGATATTATAAACTTCTAGACCCAACGTCCCTACTTAACGAACCAAGCACCTACTGATACCAACAGATACTGTCTATTGTTTTTTTTTTTATAGAAATTTGAATTCCTTAATCTGGTGCTTATTAAAATTTAGATAGTCACTTGGATACAAGTCTATACTTCTATAGAGTGTAGACACTATTTAGGTTATACTAATACTACTGTCTAGTGAAAATACTGAAAGATTACAATGGAATCACCAAGTATTAAAGCCAAAAATGAAATCGAAGTGGAATTCATTAATGATCAACTAGTTACTTTTTTAATAGACGATATATCACAAAGTACGTATGAATCTACGAAGAAAAAATTAAAACAGCATATTTCTTTAAAATAAATATAGACTATAAAATAAAAATAAATGACAAAAATCTATTTGCAGAAAGTCATTCAATCAGAAAAAAAAAACCTATTGAAGTCACCGAACATAACTCTGAAGTTTCAATAAAAAGCAAGTAAATTAAAATTATGTTTATTTGTATATTATAATATTAATATAAGTATCAGTAGTGTATTTGTGAGTTTTGAGTTTCCTCAAGATAAAAGTAATAAATATTTCTGTTAATGGTGTACCTACATATAATGTATAGATACAAATTGAGTAATTATAATATTTTAATTTATCATGAATCAATCTTTAAACCTGTAATATAGTTCAGAAATGAATTTAAATGTCAATATAACCTTCACAAGAATGATATACATAATATTTTTTGTGCACAATTCCTTGTTTATATTTGTTAAAATATTGGTGTATATATATATATAGTTTATAATTTATATTATGTTTATATATATTTATATGATTTTAACTATTGCATTTTAAAATATCTCATTTAGTTTAAAAATTTTAGGTAAAAGAACAAATAAACTATTAGATGAAAATATTCATGATGAAGAATTAAGTGAAAGTGAATCAGAAGTAACACTGAAACCGAAAGGTAATTTTTAAATGCAGGCCTGATTTAATGGAAAACTAACCTAACCTACTCATTTTTATAATTATTTACCATTATATACAGACAAGTTCATTTAATTTTTACTCACATTAAAAATATATACAATATGGAACTATATTCTTCTATTTCAAATTAAATTTAAGAATGATGGAGAATATTGTACAAATGTATCTATATATGTGTATATATGTTTGATATGCATGTAAATAATGTTAACTTCTCCTGGGGAAATAACGTCAAAAATCTAGCCGCCGGACCGGGAATCGAACCCAGGTCTCTCGCTTGCCGGGCGATTGCTCTACCACTAAGCTACCCGACCGCATAGACCTAAGACGCTATTATCCCCAAGTTAACGGATGTTTACA